GCGCGCTTGCTTTGCCTTGGCGTCGGCAGCGCGCTGCTTTTCTGCTGCCATGGCAGCTGCTTTTTCTGCCGCTTGTGTCGCTGCGGCGTCGGCTGACACTGGTTCGTTCGCACGGGTCGTCGCTGGAGGCGCCGCAACGGTCACGCGAGGCGTCGCCGCGGCTTCCTTGGCAACTTTCAGTGGCGGGGGCTGTTTTGTCGGCGTTATGGCTGGGACGGCAGGCGATTTTGGCGGGGCGGCCGCTGCTTTGGTACTTTTCCGCTTGGCGATTTCTTGGAGCAGCCGCTGCTTTTCCTGCTGCAGTTGCTTCTGCCGCTCTTCTATCTCGGTCAGACTCGGAATGTGCTTTGGAGGGGTCGCCGGCGCCGATCCCACGACACCGCTCCGGCCACAAGTGGTCACCGTAGCCTTGCCGGGACTTGCCTGGGGCAATGGAGGTTGTCCAGGAAGCGGAGCAAGTGGCGGGGTCACTCGGGGCGACGGCACCGCCCGGGGCGGTAGCGGAGGCTGCCATGGAACTGGACCGGGCTGCTTCTTGAGAGCTGTTTCATGGGGTCCTTTGGCTGTGGCGTTGCCGTCAAAGTTGGAGAACGGGTCTTCGTATGCTGGTCGACTCGGGTACAGCCGGCGCCGCTCGTCCGCTTCGGTCGTTTGAATTGTTTTGGGCAAGACAGGATAGGCGCCGTCGCCGTACTCGGTGACGCCTCGACACACGTCGCGGCGGAGCCAGTCGTGCTGCTTGGCGCTCACGTACATTTCCGAGCACGAGATGGGAATCCGAATGTTGTTGGCGCGGAGTTCCGCGTCCGACTTGAACGAGTCACCGCCCATGACGACGCCCGCGCCGTCGGGAGACGTTGGGAGGCCGTGCAAGTCGCAGATGGCGGCGGCGTGCGCCGGCGAGTCGAAGCACAGCAACGTCGTGAGGCTGTCGAGGGGGTACGGGTGTCGGTACACGCGGTTCATGCAGCCGAGGGCGTCGGACCGGACGCTGGGAAAGTAGCGATGAAGGAGGCATGCTTGGAGGAGCGTCGCGCGCTGAACGAGGCGGAAAAACGTCACGTAATCGTTGGTGTGCCGTGCCACGAACGCCGCCATGGCGAACTCGACAAAGGACGAATGGAGGAGCGATCGCGGCAGGTTTTTGGTGAACTTGAGCACAGCGGACGCTTTGTCTTTGTCTAGATGCAGCAGGATGAAATACCCGGCAAACTCGGCTTCGAACGGACTCGACTCGTCGCCGTGGAGCCGCGCGTCGTCGTAAAAGTCCTGGAGGCTCTTCATCGTCTACAACAAGCGTGCTGAGCACATGGCATCGATGGCGGCGAGAGATCCCGCAGACGACTGGCCACAACTCGATCAACATGGGGCGAGCATGCCATCCAAACGACAGTCATGACAGCGACGCATCGCGCGCGCGGCGACCGCAAACGAGGGGCGTACCTTGCCCAGCTGCTCCATGTTTTGCTGCTCGATAAACTTGGGGTTTTCAATCAGCTCGTGTTCGCACAGGATGAAGAATCGTGCAATGCGCTCGTGTACGTCCATCGCGATCACGTGGTGGCGGCCGCCGCCGCGGTAGTTTTGAAGCGTGAAATCGTTTCGAATCATGCGTGCGCGGTTCCAAAAGAAGTTGTACAACTACGCAACGACACATCGTCGTCATCCGCCGCCGCCGCCATGGGAATCACGTACGTCGAGAATGTCTGGAACGCGCGGCGGGTTGAACCGCGGGTCCGGGCCGTATTTGTCCAAGTCGATGATGTTCTGCTCCAGGTAGAGCTGCGTGCGCCGAAGGACCCTACGTCGCCCACACCGTCATCGAGATGCGGCACGAGAAACACTTCTCGCGGACGTACCCGAGCGGACGAATCTCGGATGGAATGTCGAGTTTGTGGTCGGCCGCGGACCGCTGGTATCGCTTGATAATGAACGCTTCCGGCGGTGATCCTTTCTCGAACGTGCTCAAGTCGTCGCACCGAATCTGCTCCTCTCGCTCCTTGGACGAGCACATGTCGATGCATAGACCTTCAATCGTGACGGCTGTCGACAGGTCAAACTTTTCCACGTCGTTGGTCATATCGCCATCGTCGGCGGCCGACCGCGGCGCCTTGCTTCGATCGTTCGTGGGAGATGTGTCGGGAGATGGAAGCGGCGCGGCAGTCTTGAGGGAGACCGCCGGGAGCTGCCGCGGCTGTCGGGGTGGTTTGGCGCCGGAGGACCTGACGTCTAGCAGCGTCGCGTCCGAAGATGATTTGCCGGACGACGCTGCCTTTCCAAACAAAGTCGTCGAGGAGCGGCCGAAACTCGCGGTCGTCGTGGGTGCAGGAGATGCCCGGCCAAACACTGTGGTCGATGCTGCACCTGGTGCAGCATTGCCAAACGATGTCGTGGCTGGCTTTGCGCTGCCAAAGGTGGTCGAGGGTGCAGCGCTGGCGAATCCGAACGTCGGTGTCAGAGGACTTGAATTGCCAAATGCGGTCGCCGTGGCCCCGAATGTGGTTGTAGGTGCAGACGCATTTCCGAACGTGATGGAAGGTGCAGCCGTGGACGACCCGAACACAGTGGAGGTAGGTGCAGAGCTGCCGAATGTGGAGGTAGGTGCAGGCTTGCCAATCGCTGTCTCGCTACCCAGTGTGGTGGAACCTGGCTTGGTGCTTCCAAAGACTGTGGCACGTGTAGGCGCAGCGTTCCCAAACGAAGTGGAGCTTCCCAACGTTGTTGTGGTAGGTGCAGCAGTGCCAAATGCACTGGGGGCAGCAGAGCCGCTGGGGAACGTGGTGTTTCCAACAGTTGCAGGTGCGGGCTGGCCAAAGGTAGGGGGTGCAGACGTGCTAAATGGCGTAGGTGCAGAAGTAGCACCAAACACGGTCGAAGCACCTCCAAAGGCAGTTGTGGGTGCAGCAGCAGCAGCAGCGTTACCAAATGTAGGTGCAGCAGCAGGCGCGCCGCCAAGAAGATTCGAAGTGCTTCCAAATGCAGTGGTAGGTGCAGCACTTCCAAATGGAACGATACTCGGGGTACTGCCAAACGTGGTGGTCGGTGCAGCACCACTCCCAAATGGAGTGGCAGACAAACTGCCAAAGGAAGGTGCAGTGGAGCTCCCAAAGGTGGTCGTGGTAGTCCCAAAGGGCGCAGTTGGTGCAGATGTTGATGATCCAAATGCGCTCAATCCCCCAAACCCGCTACTTGCCGTTGATGAAGTAGACTGCGTTGCAGTTGTTCCAAACGTCGTGGCTGGCGCGGCGCCAAACGCTGTGGTCGAACCAAATGCCGTGGAAGGGGCGGGTGCACCGAAAGCTGTCGTGGTACCGAGAGTGGATGGTGCACTGAACGCTGCCGACGAAGACCGCCCTAACCCAGACAAAGCACCAACTGCCGCAGGTGTCGTTGTTGCGGATCCAAATGCGGTCGTCGGCGCAGAAGGACTCGGTCCTCCGAAGGTTGTGGTTGTCGTCCCGAACGTAGGAGTCGCGGAGACCGCGCCAAAGGACGGAGTGGACCCGAATGCTGCCGTTGTAGCACCGAAGGCGGAGCTAAATCCTCCAAACCCCGCGCTTCCGGCGCCGCCCTGGCCGGTTCCCAGGTTCATGGCAGGAGCACTGTTTTGTGGCCAAGTTGTGAATTCCCAAAATATCTCATTCCATTGGCCGAAAAATTCCAATATTGTTCAATATACTTCCAATTTTTACAAAAATCCAACCTAAATTCAATTCTAAGTGGTCATTAAATCATGCTTTTTAACGAATGATATTCTTGTATTTGATTTTCTTGCAATTGATTGGCTACTGATGAAACTCGTTGCGACGCACTCCGCCGCACATCGAAGATGCAACGATTGCAGCAAAAGGTGCTAGGGAAGGTCAAGCTCTTGGGGCTCAAGGACAGTCTGCCGACGACGACCGGCAAAGCGGCGCACGTCTTGTTCGTGCCCAAGACATCAAGCAACGAATCTCTCCGAACAGCGCTGCCATTTGCGGTCTCGGAAGAAGTGCTCAACGATTTCAATGGCCATGCCAAGGAAACACTTTTGTTGTATCCCAAAGATGGCCAGCGCACGCTTCTCGTGGGCCTTGGGGACAAGATCGACGAAGTATCCCTGCGTGATGCAACCCATGAAGCCCTCGTGAATCTGAAAGGCCGAGGCGTTCGACACGCCTTCCTACGTGCACCCCACATTGACAACATGACTGAACAACGTGTCGCGGAACTCATGGCGCAGGTACTACCCGCCTCTCCATCACATGTAGTTCCTCACTCACCGCGTTTTGTAGGCGTCAGTGTTGTCGAATTACGAATTTAATCGCCACCTTTCCGCCCCGGAAGACCCGACCGTCGACGAAAAACTGCCTTTACGCGACATCTTCGTGCAAACGCCTGCGTCGGACGAGGTAGGTTTCTGCTCATAGCTCTCTCCCTTCTTGACGAATATGCTTCGTCCGCATTAGGACGCCTGCCGCGTCGCGGAGACGCTCGCGGTTGCCGAGGAAACGCTCTTCGCGCGCAACTTGGGTTCGTTTTTCACACACATTTCGTGAAATGTGGTTGGAATTCCCTCGTTTTTCGACTTTTTTTTCACACTTTGTCGTCGTTTTTTCGTCCGTTGAACGTGTGCGTTGCAGGCAACGAGAGGTCGGACGTAGTCACCCCAGCGTTCGTGGAGGCAGTGGCGATCGAGAGCGCCAAGACGCTTCCCAACCTCCGCGTGACCGTTCTGCAGGACGATGAACTGCGTGCGAAGGGCCTCAACATGATGGCGCTCGTGGGCCAAGCGGGTGTGTGTCCACCGCGCCTCGTCCTCTTGGAGTACGACGGCAACGCAACTGCCCCCGCTGATCGCATCGCTTTGGTCGGAAAGGTGCAGTCTCCTTCGCGCCACTACCCTTTCGTGATGAAGGATGCTCAGGGCATCACGTTTGACACGGGCGGACTCAACTTGAAGCCGACGGGGTCGATGGAGGACATGCACATGGACATGTGCGGTTCCGCGGCCGTCCTCGGCGCTGTTCGTGCAGCGGCCAAGGTACAACATCCTGGGCATTCCAAATGATAGACGCCCCATGGAACGGGTCGTAGAATGGACTGCGCGTGAACGTCATCGCCGCGCTTGCGCTGGCCGAGAATGCGATCGGGTCCAAAGCTGCCAAGCCCCACACCATTGTCAAGTCGCTCAAGGTACTATCTGCCTGCTCGTGTCCTGTCCTATCGACGTGTGTCCTCGCCAGGGCCTCACGGTGGAGGTGAACAACACGGACGCCGAAGGCCGCCTCGTGCTGGCCGATGCGCTCACGTATGTGCAGCAGCAGTTCAAGCCCCACACTGTCATCGACGTTGCGACGCTCACGGGCGCGTGTGTTGGTAAGCGGACGATGCGCTCGTCTTCGCGACCACTCATGTTGAGGTAGTCGCGCTCGGCGAGTACAGCGCCGGGTTGTTCAGCAACGCCGACGACTTGGCCACCGCCCTCGAGGTATGCCGCAGCCACTCGTGGATGACGACTCGATGAAAGTGGAGGTGCTTCGGGTGGGGCATCACGTTGGGTCGCGTAGGTTGCGGGCAAGTCGACGCACGAACGATGCTGGCGCCTGCCCATCTTTGCCGAGCACACGGCCGAGCTCAAAGGGTTTCAGTCGGATTCGCGAAGCACTGGCGCGGTATCGTCGCTCGATCTCGATCCATCTATGCTCATTGCAGACGGCATGGACAGGGGCGGTATGGCGGCGCGAGCACGGCGGCGGCGTTTCTGCAGCAGTTTATCGAGAAGGACGTCAAGTGGGCCCACTTGGACATTGCAGGTCAGGCGTCGTGCTCATGCAGAGAGATGCTGATGGAGCTGCAGGCCCGGCCATGTACTCTGCAGCGCGATCATTCTTTCCCAAGGGCGCGACTGGCTTCGGTGTGCAGGTGCTGCACGAGTACCTCAAGCGGACGACCGTCGCGTCGGCGTGAAGCACTCCGCACGACCGAGTGTGGACATCGCGAGAAGGTGGTGTTGACATTAAAATACGGTGGTTGGGGTGGCTATGGGCTATCGGGGATGGTGCTTCGTGACGTTTACAGAAACATGGACGCGGCTTCGTACAGGACGCCGTAGTCGTCTGCAAATCGCGGCGCATTCGGCCCTGTCTGGAGGTGCTGCTGCTGCGTGTGCATCGCGTGGGGAGTTGACGTCGAATGTGATGACTTGGAGTGGTATGGTGCATGCGATGTGGACTGGGATGCCGCGGCGTGATGTGCGTGCCGGGGTTGTTGCAGAGAACGCAGCGCTTGGTGGGGTTGGTGGGAGTACATGTGTGGGCGGTGGTCGGCCGACGCGTCCGACGAAGGAGGCAGACGGACCGCGGCGTTGGTCGACTCTATTCGCCTTGAGTCGGATGAACTGTACACCGGTTGTGAAGGCATTGGGGAGAAGCATAGGTTGGATGGCGGGGACACAGGCGTCAATGGACGCGTCTTCGTCGGGAGTTGCGAATGCTTCTCGTGCTGGTCGAATGCCATGCATGGCGGGGTCTTTGGGAGTGTCATGAATCGTTGCAGCGACTTGGACGGAAAGGGTGCTTGGATACGTAGCGGCATCGTGTCGGGCATGATTGTGGTGTGGGGAGGAGTCTCGGGGTCCATCAAACACATGAGTGTGTCCAAGTCTTGCGAGTTTAAGTGAAGCATGGGGTCGAGCGAGAAAGGCGGTTCGTCTCCTTTCGGGGTTTCGTTTTCAAGGAACTTGCCTATAGAGTCGTTTTCATCGCCCGAGCCGGCATTGCCGCCGTTGGCCGCGTCGTCGTCGTGGCCATAATGGCGCGTGATCTTTGACAGGAGGTCCTTTCGGTTCTGTCGAAAGTACGGGTGGGTGAACGTGTACATGTGGGATCGAAACTTGGTGTTCTTCTTGAAACCAAAGTAGTTGAGCTGTCGTTGAAAGCTCGTAAACTTGCTGTGCTTGAAATACTTGGGAAGGATGTGACTCTCGAGCGTGTGTCGGTCGAGAACTTGCACCGACGCTCCGTCAAGCGTCCAAGAGATGATCTGCGTGTCCTCGGTTTCGAGCATCTCGAACAGCGATCGAAGGAACTTGGGCACACCAACGTCGCGCTTCTTCGACCGCGGCCCCGTTGTGGGACTGATCATCGGCGCCGCAAAATCGAGACTGCCGCCGTTCTGACTCAAATGGCGGGCAACGGAGGGGTGACAAAACCCACAACATACAAACGTCAAGTGTCAACATGTCTTCCGTCCCCATCTCCGCGACATCTGATTGGCCCACTGGATCGAACGGTACCCAGCCCACCGCGCATGCGTGGAAAGGCCGACGAACCGCCAATGCAGCCACGCATGGTGCGTTGGCTGGATTGGCGCTGAGCTAGCTCAGTCTAGCCATCCATCATGGTCCATCAGTGTTGCGAGAGAGACGGCACACGACTGCCTGGCTTGTACCGTCTTGATCATGTGGGCGGCGAGATCAGGCCCCGATCGGTATGATGATGTCCAAGCACCGTGACGTCACCTACCGCGTATGACCAAGTTCAGCGCGTCGGACGAGGTGCACACGCTGCTCCACGTGAGCTCTGTTGGTTCGATGCCGAGCGCGCGGTCGCAGGAACGCTCCACCCGTCGCGGCCCTCGCACTGTTCTGGTGCTTGGACGGCCGAGCGACACGGTGAGGTAGGCGCTTGTTGGCGAACCACATGCCAATCGAACACACGTTATGGTTGGCACATCTGCCCAAAATGCCTGTATGGGCATGTTTTGTCGGACGAAATACAAAATCCAAGTAATACCTGCCGCGTAGGAGATCCCATACGTTGTGTGACATACGCCCCATTCTTTGTTGAAGTGCACGAGCGATACACTTGGACGCGAGGGGGCCGTTTTGACTTGGTTTCAGTATCTGGTTTTCGACTTGAAAGGGTGGTGACCAAGCTGGGAGCGCCGGCGACGAGAGCCTCGCGCAGCGCCGTCCGCGATCGTGTCGAGGAAGGATGGCCTGGCACTGGGATATGGTTGTCTTGCTGGATGTGACGCCGCCATGTGCCTCGCGAAGGCTCGGCGAAATTGCTAGCACCCATGACGAGTCCCACTTTGCTTCGGAGCGGTGCGACCACACCCCGCCACACCGACAACGCCGTCCGTACACACATCTTTGGGGACATGGACGAGAACCCGAGCATGGCTCGAACGATGGTGTTCACGGGATGTCGGTGTGGCGGGAGGGGTGTTGGACACGCGGCAGCGACCACACGGACGCGCGCCGCCACATATTGCGACATGCTTCCAGCTGGTTGCGCTGTCCACACTAGGTGGCATACAAAAGAATTCCTCATGGTAGCGTCATGGCGGACAGGTCGCAGCTCAACCATGGATGATCGTGTGGAGCAGTCGTCGCTCGTGGAAGGCAATGACAATTGGGTGCACGTGGGTCGCAATTGCACGATGGCTTCAGCAGGACGGGATGTCCAGTTAGTTGGAGAGCACCCCACTCGAAATCTTCATGCGCGTTGTCCACGGCAATGCAGCACACAGCGGCATCCAGCGCGACAGGAGAACGATCGGGAAGTCCTTCTTTTGGATGAATCGATTCTACCCACGCAATCGGTCGTGGCATGCCGCACGGCGGTAGATGTCTTAGCGGTAAAGGCATCGATAGCGCATCGACCTCTAGCCCATTAGAACGTCTACAATCTCATTGGAGAGCACGTGGTGCGGGTCCCATTCGTTGCGGAGGGCCTTGAATGCTTCCCACGCAGCGAATCGTGCGCGGAGACGCTGACGAATTGCGTCGATCTCGACGGCCGACTTGGACGTCACCTCGAGCTTTGCCCAGTGTTCCGTCGCCCCATACGGCGCCATCACGTCTTCAAGGAGGTTCGAGTACTTGCCAAAGTATTTTCGGGTCGCGTCCCGGGCACCTGGTGCTTCGTCGCCGCCGTCTTGAAGGTACAAGATGATTCCAACCCACGAAAACACGGCGGCGGCGTCGGTACTCTGCGCAGGGCTCAGCGCTGCACGGCTACGAGCAGTCCATCGCTGCTCGATGGGCGTGTGCGCAGGGACTTGGTTAGCTTGAATGCGGGCAAGGAGCGCGTCCATGAAGTCCAGATCCAGGTGGTCCTTGGAGATGGGAAAGGCCACTTCCGACACGAGCTGCTGGCCGCCGCAGTCAAATCCGACGACGTCGTCCGACAGAGCGACACGAGTGCCTTGGCTACGTCGCCAGTACTCGACCTCAACCTGTGAGATCCGCGCAATGTGGGCTGCATTCAGCGGGTCCAACGCGTACAAGGCATCACGAAGTTGCGTGAATCGCCACGACGTCGGGGGCGGGGACCGAGTGAGGTCGGCGTAGAGCACGCGAAGCGGTCGCAGGCGGTGGTCGAGATTCGGGGGCACTTGCGGTTCGGTCGGCGGCAGCGTTGGAGATTGCGATGGATTTGACGTCACTACCACGACCGAATCGGTGTACGGAAGCCACATGTACCGCACGTGTTGGTTCGACTTGAGGAGGTCCAAATGGACTTGGCGAAGTTGAGAGGTGGATATCAACTCGGTGTGCTCCACGAGGTAATGCCGAGGCACGCACTGCAACGTGAGCTGTGTGACAATTCCCAACGCCCCGAGTCCGCACTTGGCCAGTTGAAAGCGTGGGTCCAACGGATCGCTGAGCGTCACGCGGCCGCCCGCAGGAGTTACGATGTCCATGGATACAATCTGCTCCTCCATCGTAGGAATCCGTGCGCCTGTTCCATGGCATCCCGCTTGTGTGACCCCCGCAACAGTTTGCTCCCGAATCGATGCAACGTTTTGTAGTGTGAGACCATGGGTTCTATGAAGGGCAAACACATGAGGGAGTCTATAGCGCGAAGATCGCAGCAACGATTTACCGGAGTTGGGCGAGAAGGTCGCCGACAACAACCCCTCCTTCCACGGTGACTTGTTGCTTGGCTTCGTCGATGTGGAGGATCCGATCCAGGCGACTGAGGACCAGGATCGATTCGTCGGAGAATCCAAGACCGTTCGGACTGACACCGGACCCCATGGGTCGGAGTTTTGTTTTCTGAAGGTGGTGGAACGCCACTACACGCGCACACTATGGCGTGAACGAGGGCATGCTTTCACCTGACAAGGAGATATCCTCACCGATAGACTCGACTTCGGCAACGGAATCGGGCTCGTACACGCGAATAGGATGGCATTCATGAGTTGCCGACCAATTCACGTAGGCAGCTGCCGAGTCGCCTTTCTTCCCATCAGCACATGTCGCTCCAGTCGCGACCGCTACCAGTGCCGCGAGAGGGGGCACAAGGTTTGGACGAGGACGGGCATTTGACGTTGCCACGACAGCATGTTGCGTGACGCGCCGCGCCGGGAAGCCTGCGGCCTTCACGGTGGCCATCGAACGGCGCAGGAAAGGACGAAGCAATTGCGCGCGCCGTTGCATCTTCTGCGACGATCGGAACCTGCCTTGGCGAACGTTCCATCTCTCGAAATATCATTTGATGTTAATATAGTATACAAACAAAGAATTGAAACCTTCCGGATGGACGCCGGATGCAATTTGCGGTGGCCAAGATCGCGTCTTTTCACAAAACGCCATGAGCAGTGCCGCGGCCGAGGCGGCGACAAAGGAAGGTCTGGACAAGGCCGGCAACGACACCGTCAAAGGGAGCGCCCCCCATGTGGTAGAGAAGAACCCATGGTTGCATGCGTACCACAACTCGGTGGCTGGGATCAAAGCATTCACCAAGTAAGAGTCTTGGCGTCAGGCACATCGTGCGCGATCGCTCACATTGTCACGCTAGCTGCGTCCAACTCGCTGACGTGTACGGCGATGGCGACAGCAAACTGATCGTGGCCGATTCCGACCGCCGTCTCAAGTTGTACAAAGGTCGCGTAAAACACACATCTTTCCCCTTGAACTCTGACGTGGCGGGCAGGGTCCACCTTGATGAGCGAGCAAGCGCTCCTTGGCGTCCCCGTCGCGCTGTGTGCATTCTATTCTGGTGCGTTTGTCTTTCTCGCTTCCCCACGCCACGCACACTAACGCAAACCACTTCGCGACAGAATCGACGCGCCCACGCATGCCGTCCATCGCGGTCGCGTCCGGCCCATCCATATACATTTACCGCAACATGCGCCCGTACTACAAGTTCACGGTCCCCGTCTTGGACATCGATCCCGAAGAAGAAAAGTTGTGGAAGAGCATCGCCAAGTGCGAGACGGACATCCCGGCCGCCACCCACCAGCTCAACCTCCTTCGGTAGCCGTCGCCACCACGACCTGTCGTCATATCCCGTGCAGTGCCAACGGGTCTCGACTCACCCAACGCTCCCGCGGCTTCCTCGCCATCGATGACATCGACCAGCAAGCGGAGTACATGTCCAGGTAAGCAGGCGTCCGATCCGTTGCATGCCACGCGTTGCCGTCAGGTGTATGGACGAGCCACTTGTCGAGCAGACCACCATCACGTGCATGACGACAGTCAACAAAAACATGGACGAGAAGGATGCCATCTCTTGGTGCGTGGTACAATCTCTCCACCGACAGTCCCCACGAATCGTTGCCGTAGCTTGGTGGTCGGGACGGAAGCGGCCCAGGTACAAACGACAGGAAGCATTCTAGATCGACTGAATTCGTTTTTTCACGGCCATGTATGCCGTCGACATGGCGTGGTTGATGCGTGGGGTCGTGCGGGGTGCCCGTAGGTATACATATTGGATCAGCAGGGCACTGCCGTGCTGTGCAAGACAGCGATTCCTGCGGTGCCCGTCGACATGGTTGTCAACGGCCTCTACGATGTCGAGTACCGCGTGATTGTGTCGTGCCGCAATGGCTCTGTTTACACAGTCAAGGTGGGTCGCATCCGATATACGTGCGCGCGCGTCACCCCGGTCGACGCAGAACGGCGAGCTCCTTCGCAGCGTCATCGAGCTCGAGTCCCCCGCGTGCGGACTCTTGCAAATGGACAAAAGCATCATCGTCGCGTGCGTCGATGGCAAGGTCATCTCGTACCATCTCAAGGTGCGGCGGCGGCATGTGGCAACGCGAATGGGTCACGTGGCGTGCTGTATCGATCCAGGGCAAGAAAAACTGGAGCATGGCGATGCCACACGACATTGTCGCGTTGGAAGCGATGAATTTGCGCCGAACCAAGCACACCAAGGGCATCCTGATTGCCCTGCGCAAGGGCGAGATCCTGCTCTACCATGAAAAGATCAAGGTCGTGGACCATGGCCGCCTCTTCATCTCACCGAGCGGACCGCGCTGACGCGTTCGCGTAGGTGCACAGCTTCAAGATTGAAGGGAGCTTGACTGCCATGGTTTTTGGTCAATTTGGCCGCGAGGAAGCGTCGCTCGTGCTCGTGCACAAGGTTCGCGATGTGGTCGATCGTGGCGGGATGCTTCACACAACTGCGCTTCGGCGGGGTCGCCGTAGACGGGGGCGCTCACTCTCAAGATCCTTCAACGGAACGCGGACCTCGAAGCGAATGCCACCGCCGCGGGCCCTCCGCCCGAGCAAGGTATGTCCTTGCATTCAAAAGGTCGTGACACCATCGCTTCGATAGACGTGCCACTCAACGTCCCAAAGAAAACCAAGCTGTACGTCGAGCAGACGCAGCGCGAGCGCGACCACGCCACCGAAATGCACCGCCATTTCCAGGTGCGTTCGCCGCCGTGACCCCGACTCGAACCTGACGACACATCGGGCAGCGCGACTTGTGCAAACTTCGCCTGACGACCGTCCGTTCGTATGTGAAAGTGATTCGCGACGGCCAAGTACGTCCCGCGACTCCATGGAGAGAAAAAAAACGAATGGCTGGTAGGGCCCCGTGTCGTACGCGACGGGCGCCGCGATTCGACTCCATGCCAAAGTACAAGGCATGGGTCCGCGCTTCAAAATCCACTTGCAGCTTCAGGTGCGTCGTCGCTCGACACGGCGGCGCGGTCACTCGTACCTAGAACGCTGGGACCAAGTTTGCATCCGACGCGCCCCTCGCGCTGCATTACGACCACACATTGTACCGAGTCCACCCGAGTTTGTTGATTGTGCCGCTCCTCTTGCCGGTGCAGCTCTCGAGGTCGGATATCCCCTCACGTCGTCGTCATTAGGGCGTGCTGTACACATACACGGTCGATGTCGAGAGCGTATCGCCCGCCGCCGACAGCATTTACATTTTTGTGTGCGGCAAAGGCAGGTACGCCGCGACAGAACGACGGCAGGCATGCGTCGCTCACGAGCACTGTAGCTGCGTCCCGCTAGTGTCTGCGGTCGTCAACATGCCGTTGAGTGAACTGTTGGCGGTCGGCGCCCCCTGACGTCGCGATGCCGACGCCCATGCCATCGATACATAACAAATTCTCTCCACGGCGACGTCAGTGTCTCGAAGCGGATGCTGCAAGCACACATGAACCTCATGGCGTCGACGGCACGTTTCTCGTTGTTCGACGTGGGTGGCACGGGCAGAGGATGCATTGACAGCAACTCGTTCGGCTGCCACACGGGCGGCGCTTCCTGCAGCATGCATACAAGTATGAGGAATCGATGGAAGCGACGGTGGAATCCCTCTCGTGCATTCGAAGCCGACGACGGAAGCATAGCCAGACAGACTGCGAAACGCGTCGTCCGCAACAACTGCCGCGGCGTCGGGATGTGGACGCAAGATCGACCGGACGATATTCGCGGTACGTTGTCGCGATCTCGACTTGCCGCGTCCATCGGACCACATCGAGGGAGAATCGCGGCAGGATGGAGACAAAGCAGGGCGGCGTGCGTGGAACGGTGGCGGCCTTGCACATGGAGATGCCATGGAATCCACCGCACGGATGCATTAAAATGGACGTGGAGGCTCAATGTCCCGACGTTGTCTCAAGTGCGGGGCACGTTTTCACGGTAGTGCGTGATGAGTTGCCGGACGCGGTCGCTAAAGGCCGATATTTCAACGAATTGCGCCGCACGTTGCGTGTCCTGCAAACACATTTGGCTCTCGAGCGTCTCGATCTCTTCCTGGAGTCGTTCCATGGCCGGGACGTCGTGGTCCGAGAGCGCGGCCACCATTTGGTCCTGCAGTCGAACCCACTGGGTCAACAGCCCCTGGATCTTGAGCTCGATCTTGGCGCACATGCCGTGCTTGAGTGGCACGAAGCGCTGGGCAATCGTCGGATTATGGACCGGGGCCTTGTACAACGGGTTCGCCGGGTCTTGCGCGGCGTCGTACTGGGCCAGGACCGGTGGGTCGTACACGATGACTTGGGCCACAGCCTCGTCGCGCTGCCGAAACACGTCTTCCAATGCGCGCTGGAGTTCGCTGCGGCGATTCACAGCGCTGAGTGCGACCGACATGGACGCAGACGATACGTTCATGCGAGCCTACAGTCGTCGATCGGGAGCACCACACACAACAAGCGGCCAACTCTACCTCGACTTCGAGCTTTCGAATGGCCTTGTCCAGCTGGTCCGCTTGGTCGTTAAACTTGTTGTAGTTGTCCAGCATCACGCCCTTCAAATAGTTGTCTCGGACGTGCGGGAGCGGAGGCATGTTTGGGAGAGACGACGACGTGATGAAAGTCTTGTCGTCGCGAGTCGGCAGCACCGACGATTCCCCGGCAACATGGACGACTCTTGACGCCGGTTCCTGCTTCACAGGACGCTGCACCGCCACGGGATTCACGGTCGGGGCACTGGGATGTGCAACGACTGGTGCCGGAGCTGTTGCAGAACGTACCGGAGCTGTACCTTGTGGCTGCGACACTTCCTCCTTGACAGGCGGTTGCTGCCGTGGATCGCGCGGTTTGTTTCGCACCGACGGAGGTGGCTTCCGTGGGTCGTGGGGCTTCGCTGGGGCAGATGGCGGTGGTTGCGTCTGTTGCAGCGGTGTTGGTTCAACTGGACCTGGCGGGGCGTGCTCTCGGGTGTCTTGGGTCACGTCGCGCTTGTACAGGCGCATCGATTTGGACACGTCGTCCAGGAACGCACTGCCCCACGACAACTTGACGTTGCAAAGACCTCGCGCGCCTTGAGATATCATCGAGAAACGTGTCAATGCATATCGTCGAATGTTGACACGAACGACCAACGTGGACGCATGATGCCAACACCTACCAACCGTTCGCACGCACCAGCAATCGGATACACAGGATGGGTATGGGAGTGGCCGCACTTGAAGCACTTGTACAGCTTGCACGAAAGGCAGTAGAACTCGACCTTGAAGTCCGTGCATGTCTCGCAAACTAGCTTGCACGGATGGAACTGGACTCGTCGACATATTGGACCGTGAGGGATTACCTTTGGGGCCGTAGTCGTCCACAGGCTTGTTGCCGTGCCGCAGTCTCAAGTGGTCACCCATGTGTTCCTGGCAGTGGAACTCGCCCGGGCATTTCGGGCAGCGCAAGTCGGCAAGACGCAAGCACTTTCGGTGACCACACTTGACAATGTCCCACTTGATGCCTACAGCATCGTCAGCAAGCAGGAACATGTCCATGATTCTTCGCATGACGCAAAAAACGCGCATGTGCAGAGAAGACACTCACCGAACATGGCGTCCAGCACCGCAGTCTCCGCGGCCTTGTCCGCCATCGCCATCGTTGTCATGGTGTTGAACTCGTCGATGAAAATATCATATCCATACAGTTCGCTTAGAATTTCACTTGACTCCACTATAACTTTCCAAAATGCATACGTAATTTATTATAAAGTATATATATGTATAGAGGATTTTTATATATACCATTAATTATGGTATACAAATTTCGGCATTGCAAAAGTGTCCTTTCGACGGATCGGTCAGAGCACGAACGACTGCCGCCGACGTCGATGGCTGAAGCGACGTCCTTCGCCCACTCCCATGGGAACCCACCTAGTAACAATGACGACAGCGCGTTGTCATGGAACGAGATCCTGCGCGTGCAGAACCTCATCGAGCGATGTCTCCAGCAATCCATGTCTAAGGTAGACAACGCATGTGTTGGCCATCACGTTGCTCACCTCCGTTTCCTAGGCCGACATCGTCCATGCGTTGCAGGTTGGTATAGTCGCAACGTTGATGCTGATATTTGAAAGTTGTGCTGGTAAGGCACAAGCGAACGTCGACCCCAACTTCACAAGAACTGTGTGGCAAAAGCTCGAGGAGCAGAATCCGTCCTTCTTCGAGGCGTACACTCTGCATTTGACGCTAAAAGAGCAAATTCTCACCTTCAACTACCTCGTATGATCTCTCTATCAAGACGTTTTGGTACTTGATGCCTGCATTAGGTCAACCAGCAGCGTGAGAATGTGGCAGCGACTCCAGCCGCCACCGCGACGTCGTCCTCCGACCGTCCCCAACCGTCCTGTCCCTCCAACCACCAAGGGCAGAACAACGCCCGTGGGACATCGCTGTCGTCGCACATGGCGCCGATGCTATCCCCCATCAAGACCGACTTGGACACATGCGCTTTCTTCACTTGAAGCTGCGGCAGGTCGACATAAAATCAAATCGGTTGTCTCCCCTTAAATATTTGTCAAAGTTGAGAAATATTCTTGAATCCACGTAGATATTTTAAAAAAGGACGAGTCGATATATCACGACATCAATTCATTGACTTCTCTCATCAACATGTTCACTCAACCGTCGTCGTCGTCGTCCACATCGGTTTCGGCAATCGCGCCGGCCACAGACGATGGCGGCGGTGTGTTTTCGAGCCTCATTAGTTCGGGCGACAATTTGTTCCCAGTCAGGGTAAGCCGGCGCAGCCCACCGAGCTTCTCGTACGGATTGAAAGGGAGACTTTCGAGCTGGTTGCCGGCAAGAAGCAGGTGCTTGAGCCGTGGAAGGTCCCCGATGCGTTTGCCGACCTTGGTCAGTTTGTTGTTCTCGATGTTGATTACCTCTAGACGACTGCATCGTCCGAGACTCGCGTGAAGTTTCGTGAGGGCATTGTCTTGCAAGTACACCTTGCGCAGCGATGCGAGGGCGCCGAGGTCCTTGGGAAGCTTTTCAAGTGCGTTTCCTACCATGTTCATCGTTGGAACCCACATGCGATGGAGCAAGTGTGGGCTGGACCTTCCAAGTGCAAGATCTCGAGCTTGGTGAGGTTGACAAAGGACTTTGGGAGAGTCCGCAGCTTATTGTTCGGGGCGTCCAGTTCCTTGAGATTCACTAACTGACCGACCTCGGACGGTAACTCGTCGATCGCGTTGGCATCCAAGTAGAGCTCTTCCAATGCGACAAGGGACATGAGCGGGAGCGGCACCCTCTGGAAGTGAGAAATGAACGAGGAAAGGCAATGACGAGAGGAGCAATACCGTGAGTTTATTGCGCTGTAGACACAAACCTTTGAGGTGAGCGAGTGATTGCAATTCGGTGGGAAACCCGCTCTCTGACAGCGCGTTGTCTTCGAGATAGAGGGAGTCAAGCTGCGACAACTTGGCAAGTGCACACGGCAGCGATTCGAGCTGGTTCTCCCTCAAGTACAACTCGTGGAGGTTTTGAAGAAGTCCAATTGCGTCGGGGAGATGGGTGAGCTGATTCTTCTCCAGACACAGTGTCCGCAGTGACTGTTGCAACTGCGGAATCACGCACAGATCGACTGGGACTTCTGTGAGGTCTTTCTCGGACATGTCAAGCTCTTCCAAGACTTCTTCGCCATCGTCGTCCATATCGACGTCGTACTTGCTGCAGAATGCCTTCAGCAGTGATGCTTCGCCGCCGTCATTGCCACCACCTTCGCAACCTGCATCCTCGTCGTCGCTCATGCTGTTCCAAGCGTGGGGTTCGATTGTGAAGAGGCACCCGCCCAAAGATGAATCTTTCGGATAAACGTTTTCCGGATGATATTTTTGGTGATGTCTAAAATATTGAGCATTTTCGTAATATTCTTGGATTGTTCAGCTATCCTTCGAATGTGGAAAGTGACGACTGAATGCATCGAAAGCACACGTCGATGCTGAAGGAATCCAACTCAACGCCGTCGGGGCCACGAACAATGCGGCGGAGACTAGACTCCATGTCGATCCACACAGGACGCCCGTCACTCGCTTCGCCAATGCGCGCCAGCATTTGCACTATATTTGTGGGGGAGATGCCGCCCGCGTACCCGCACAGGACAGTGTCGAACGGCTTGGGAAATTCTGTCATGGGCACTCCCAAGCCACAGGAAGCATCAAACAGAATGCTCATGTTTGGAGGTGGCGTGGCGAGAAGAGCTGTCCAGAGAGGTTTGGTTTCTTGATTGGTTTGGACGATCCACTCCACGTCAGGGGCTTCCCGCATGCACGTGAGAATGCCTTGGACGTAATCCGAGGTACGAGCCAGGTCGACCTGCACCCGGTTCGCTGCCGTAGCGTTAATCTGAACTCGTTGGAACCCCATTTTCGCGATGTCCTTGACGAACTGCGCATCACCAGAGAGAACTTCCTGGCACCGAGAACCACATAGGTGAGCAGCAAGCTTCATCGGCGGGGAGCTGGTTGACTGCAACGCTGCTAGGTTTGATACCCATGCAGAAGATGCATACCGCGGGGTGCCTTCAAGATCCGGACGAAAGAGTACTCCCCACTCAACCCACGGGTAGTGCGTCGAGATGATCTGTAGAAGCTTCGGGTCGACGGAGTCGTCGGCGCCGCAGAAGCCGAGTGCCCGTACCTTAGCCTTCGTCATGATCGATTTCTCTTTGAGATGGATACCTCCCAAACAACTCAAACCTCTCTGTCCAATTAGGTTCATTTAACCAATGCGTTTATGGAAGCAAAAACGAGTTAAACCTCGTTTTACCCTTTGTATTTACAGTTACTAGCAATTCTTTACTGTTAATTCTTCCCACACAACGTGCTGAGCGTAAGTTTTTCCAGACAATTAAGTGCTACTAGTTTTCCAGAAAAAATGTACTAGTAGTATTAAACAAAACCTTTCCTTGTTTCTAACACTTAAAGAAGTACTAGTAGTAACAAACTCGGGATATTAGCAATTATATTTTAGTAGTACTTGCGATCTTTGGAAGGCAGGCAGATCGATCGGCCAATTGCACCATGCGAAGATGGCCCACGGGCGGGCGCATTCTCAACTGCACATGACGCAGTCGCTAATCGCACCGTGGCGACGTGCGATGTACCCTCATAGCAAGGCAAGTGATGGTACTGCCGTCCAAGCGATCGAGGGCCGTCATGTGGAGGAAGGCTGCGGTTAATCGGAAACCATCTTGGCGGGGGCATTGTCATCGTCAACGATTCTCGTCCACGCGTGGTCATTGCGCTGCGCGGAGGCGACCGATCCATGTTGCTTCTGGCGCAGAGCCCGTCGCTGCTTCTCATGCTTGGACTCGAGGCTGGTTTCCTCAAAGCACTGCTTCGTCTTCAACATATCATTTTCGACTTGGCCCTGGATGCGACGCAGTTCGCGTTCCCGAGCCAACTTCCCCTCGAGGAGCGAAACTTCCAGGCCTTGCATCCTCTTCAGCGAGTCTTCGTCCAACAGTTCGTGCTCCCTCATCACGTTGTTTGCGTGGCGCTGCTTGGCCACGAGATGCTGCATCTCGAACTGCTTCTTTCCTTCCAGGTCGTAATGGGACTGCAGCCACTGCTTGTGCAGGGCGTCATGTTCCATCTCATGCCTTGCCTTCAGGTCCGCCCTCTCGGCCGCTTCGTTGTTGGCGGATTTGTCGAGCACCGCCCTTTCCACGTCATGCAGATGCAGCTCCAACTGGTGCGCTTTACGCATCTCCTCCACTTCCTGAGCTTGGAGTGCCAGGAGCGTCGCTTCGTCCATGTCTCCGGCAGGAATACCGTCACTCCACACCCTTTGCATTCGTTGGGTTCGTGTGCGACACGCCAATAATTCAACTGTGGCTTCACCCGAAACTCAATTTAGCCTGGAGCTTCAACGGCACCTTCACGCTGGATGGCAGCACAAGGAGGATCTGCGAGCGGGCTGGTCGCTGGCCGCGGCATCCTAGTAAAATACGCGCCACGACTTGATTCCAGGACATCGACCACATTGGCGCCGACATGGATGCTCGTGTTTACGGATTGCAACGCGTGCCGTTCAAGTCCACGCCCTCCCCTGTGCCCTCCCTCGCCGCGACAACGTGCGCCACAAGTTGATGGTCCTCCATGTGGCTGCTCTTGTGCGAAGTGCTTGCCGTGTACTGCTAAGTGACGGGCGAGATGACGCAGTGGAAGATGTCGGCGGCGACATCCGCCGACCTGTGTTCATGGACACCGTGCCGGACGCATCGAATGTGAAAAAGTAGAATATCTCGTTGCCGCTTTGCATCCGCAACTCGCACAGGACGTTGTCTCGGCAACCCACGGCGTTTCCTGCCGTAGCGAGTCGTGTATGTTTCCTGGAATCGAATTGTGCTGCACACCAGACTGCCTCGTCGAGCGCCAGCAACTTCCACCGGCAACAAGCCTTTGTGGTTGAGGATTACGCAGTACGACGTGCGTCCCCCCGAAGGTATCACGGGCGATGCACGGGTACAGCAGTCGCAGGTTGCTGCTCCATGAAACAGGAGGGCAAGACTACCAAGAGAGGTCGACGGACGTTGATTCATGGAGTGGACGCCTATGGCACGCACAAGAAAGCTGCTATCGAGACCTATAGCCGCTTGCGGACCGATTTCTTGGGAGACATAATGTGAACGATTCGCCACATGATTCGGACCTAAGAACCCCATGACGCACTGATGGATCGAGGACGTAGCACGCACGGTGCACCAGAACGTGACCAGACCGAGGAATATCGCCACGACGCGAAGAATGCGTCGAACGGTGTCGTCGTGCTTTGCGGCTTGGACCTCGCTTTGTTGGAACAAGGCGGCCGCGGGCTTTGCGACCTCGACGCATAGCCCCACGACACCCACGAGGAGGAGCAGCTTGAAGTTCTACGAGCCAACATGACCACCGTGTACGCAAGCCTGTCTTGTTACCAAGGCGTGACGACCTCTCATGTAGAGGAAGAAAGATAGTGCATACAGAAGCAGGAGGATCCCTGTTGCTTTCGCCGTGTCCGTCGACCATGCAGCATCGATCCACGATTGCACCACCCACAACGCTAGTCGTGCCGACCACACCACCTGACACTCGGCATGAGAACCGTCGCACCATGGAGGAGGTGAATGAACCTGCAGATTTCGTACAAGCATACTCAGCGCGGCATCTGTCGGCACGCGAGAGGCCGCGTCGCCCCAGATCACTTTGTCCAGGTCTTCATGCGCCAAGTGCACCATGACGATATCGATGGTACTGTAACAGTAATTGACATATTAATTTTCAGAGGAAAACTCTTAGACATCATGCTTCCACGCTTGAAGGACGAAGCGAAGATGGAGGAAGATCCAACGTGCTTCAACTACACGGCGGCTTCGACTCGGAGATAGCGCGACTCACCGACATGGGAGTCTGCACACCTGCGCTAGCACGAGAACACATTACAGGCTGTTTTCTTCGAATGCATGGCATGTTCGAGATGACGAAGCGGTGGTATCTACAACAGGTTTGCTTTTCCACGGACTGCTGGAGGAAGTCTTACGCGTTCGTGAATGATTCTCATGGACGGCGTAGCTCGACTCCGGCGGTGGCAGCGGCGCAAGTCCGGCCAGATGCAAGCTCACAGAAAAGGGACCACGACATCCATTCTGTGCTGAGCTCGAGAATTGTCGGTACCACCTCGTCGTTCACCGGGGCTCTCGTCTCCTAAACCACAAGGTCATGCTGCTCCAACGCGCTTCCCCGCTCATGTCCGTGGCACAGTGTATTCATGACTGTGCGTGTGCATGGTGCGCAGATCCTCCAGACGATCGATCTAACAACGCAAATCAAGCAGTCTATTGCTGGTGGCAACTTAATCTGGTGGCAACTTAATCTGGTGGCAACTTAATCCTTTTTGGCCGCGGGCTTGGTGTAGCGCTTGGCAAAGAACATGGCGAAGAGGTAAATGAGAATGACGGTGTAGACATGGATTGCCGCAATGCCGTACGTTTGCGCCGTGTTGTTGCATCCCGCAACAAAGTAGGATGGCACGGTGAGCGAGATCCCGACAAGGAATTGCGTCAACTGCGCCATCGTGAGGAACTTGGCGTACGGGCTGCGGTACCCCAACGTCGCCAGGAGGTAGTACGTGTACATGATGGTGTGGATGAAGCTGTTGAAGGACGTGACGACGAGCGCGGGGGCCGTCGCTTCCGCTTGGATCAGGCAGTACATGCACAGAATGATCCCGGCGTGGTGGTACGTCTGAAGCAAGATCGGTTTGTCGCCCTTCAAGTACACGATCCAGCTGTCGACGAACTCGTAGAACTTGGACACGTAAAAGTGCGTAAACCACCTACAAGATGAGCCGTCAGCCTCTCGTCGTTGTTGCCGGCCGCATACGACCGTACCAGCTAATGATGCGCCAGTGCTTGCCGGACGCGTCGCACATGGCGCCGGAGTACCCCGGGTTGCGTTGTACGTGGTTGTAAAAGATCGACGCCGAGTTGTAGAACGTCCATCCCGAGTACATAGCCAAGAGGAAGTTGTGCACAACGCTGATGGCGGTCACAAAGGGGTGGCGCTTGCGAAGTTTCTTGTCTTCGGGACTCAGTTCAAGGCCGAGGAGCTTGACGACCAAGCGGCAGCCGGGGCCCGAGAGCGTGAGGTACCCGAGGACACAGGCGACCGGCACGATCGGGCCATTGTCGGCGAAGAACGGGCTCACGATGTTGTCGTAGAACGCAAGGACGTCTGTCGCGACGGCGCTCATTTTGGTCAATGCGGGAATGACGAACCGAGATGATGGCGAGGTCATGGCGTTGGGAATTTCGTAAATCCCAGCTTCAGTTCTGAATAAAGCGTTTCGATAGGTTCACAAACTGCATTATTAACCAATCAAGTACGAATAGGCGGGACAAACCTCCTACGTCACGTTCATGCCGCGATTGCATGGCAATCCTGTCTCGATCAATGGATCAGCGGCACGTGCGGTAACACAGCCGCGGT